CTCTTGGGTGAGTATGTACTTTAGGAGGGGAATAGGCATAGCACTGAAAGTGAAGGGGTAGGGGTATCGGGATAGGAATTTAACCAATTTCTATTGTTAAATTTCAAGTTCTACATTTGTTTTACTAGACTATTTATGCTCATTATTTTTATTTTCAGATGTGTCAAAATAAGAGATTGAATCAGAATACCTAGCAATGGAACATACCACTTAAGGAGGGAGTGATTGTTAGTATGAGATGTTTTTCTCAATAATAACATAAATGTATACACCCTATTGTAGTTGAGACTAGAAGCGTACAATATAGAGTATCATCTTGATTGATCATGGATTCTTTAAGCGTTACTGGAAAGATATTTTGTATATTTTGATGAATAGGATGATGTGTCTTAGTCGCATGATGCATGTTGTCTTGAGGTGAGATAACACGATACGATAACGTCTCCCTAGTTAGGATGGGGGCGTTACAAACTAAACCAGCTTGATACAGGTTTTGAATTTTAAAAGAGAATTTGAGATTCGAAAAATGAATAAATTAGAAGATATCAAAGAATAGTTAACAAAATTAAATTGCTTGGTGAAGTGTTTTCAAACAATGGAATTATTGAAATAATTCTTGTTTTTATCATTTAAAGAGTTTAAGAATTTCTAAAAAATTACAGTTGTAAAATTAATCAATGTTTTGCAAGTCGTGAAGCAAAGAAAAGCAATTGGAGGTGAAAAAATAATAGAAGCTCAAGATGTCAAAAATCTTTGTCAATAACAAAAAACAAAAAATTTTCACTATACTAAGCATGCCAAAAAGACAAAGATGATGAAAAATTGTTAGCATAAAAATAATCGTAATATTTTAATTGTAAAAGATTTGGACATGTACCAAAAATTATTCATTTTTTTCTTTTTAAAATCGGAGAAAAGTGCTCCACAAAAAATGATAATAAATTTTGATAAAAAATGCATCAATAATAAAAGAAAAATATTTTAAAATATAAAAATTAAACAAAATATTGTACAGATGCGTTTTAACAAGATGATAATTTATTTTATTTAAAAGTAGTTTATATGCTGTAAATATCCTTTAAAGACACGGGGCTTGTGTTGTCAATTTTAAATTAATAGAAATTCAGGCTTTTTTTTCCACCAAATTTTTGTACACTGAAAACTACAGATCCATATATGCAAGTTTTCTTACCTTCTCTCAACTGCTTCGAAAACCAGTCAATTACGCATTGAATTTGATTCCCACTTTTTATAAATGGCCAAAACCAAGACTGAACAACACCATTAATTTCATTTTTTGGAATATGAAGCTGGTGGGACCAATAATACCCCTAAAATATCTAACTTGTCTAGTTGCCGTCAACACCAGCAACTCAATAAATTCCAATCAACTCAACAAACCATATCAAGTCAGTTTCTCCAACCTTGGTTTTTTGAGTTCTTGAATTGTCGTCGCTTAATTCTATTCAAGGATCTCTAATACATAAGCACTAAAGATAAGAATGCAAGAATATTTTAAGGGAAGAAAATATGATATATATTATTCAAGTGTATAGACAGAGCAAGGCTGATATATCTGCGCTTATGTCTCCACAAAACAAACCAAAATGTAGCATAGAATGCTATACAACATAAACAGAAGCTGAAGAAGAGAAATCAAAAGCAAGAATAATAATAATAATCACTACCACCTCCTAAGCAGCTCTAATTATATCCCAGTCACAAAGCTAGATGGCTAGGTAATTGTGGAAATAAAACAATTAATTAAAAACCTCAAGGCTTCCATCCGGCTCTGTAAGCATTATCTCGCCTGTTGTTCCGGAAGGCACAGCAGCCTACAGAGTAGACAATGATGAGGAAGATGAGGAAGACAATGTTGACAATAGCGACCTTCTTCCACGAGTTCTTGATGTTGTCAAGAAGTCCAGCCTTGCAGGCTTGGCAGTTGAAGCAGAGAATGTTTGGATCGTTCTGCCATGCATCACAATCCGTGTTGTTGAATGGCCCGGTGGTTTTGGTCCAGGTTGTTGGGTTCTGAAAGGTGAAGTCACAGTCATTTGATGGCTTGCAGCAACCGGACTGTCAATAAACAAACAACATCCATTGTCAGTTCACTACCCAAATTCAGTGTATCTCAGAAACCCAGTACCCAGATATATAGATTTACATACACGTACACATATATGCATACACAAACCCAGAATAGACGCAAATAAAATATAAACACATAACAGATAGCATACACTCAGAATAAAAATAGAGAAGAATGCTAATCTTAACCCTCTACACACATAAATCATACACAAAACCCAGTAAAGAGCCATAGATATATGCACATAACAAATAAGACAGACTTAAAACAACACCGGAGAAGCATGCTACTCTTAACCCCAAAAAAAGTTGGCGCAAAGAAATATTGTGAACTCTGAAAGGTTAATGAATCATTGTATCAAAGAATTGGGAATCCAATTATGAGTTTATTTCTGCAATAAAAAAACTGAGTAAATTCGTTTCTGTGATCTGCAACTTGATCATGGAGCCACATAGATTACAGAGCAAACAAGATAATAAAGTAGAATGAAGGTCATTAGTTGAAATCCACTTATGCCCTTGATATGGTCAAAAAGTTTTTCCTACGAGAAATCAGTCTTTTTCATGAAAACTTGAATTTTATTGAACAAAAGATTCAGGTTATGGAGCAAAAGATTATGTTTCCAGATAAAGTTAACTCTAAATATCAAAATAGAAATTTACGATGACCTTTAATCTCACAAAAAATATGTTATCTGAAAGGAGAATATAAAAGAAAAACAAAAAGACACACAACTTTTTAATAAAGAACAGACAGAATCTTTTTCTTTAAAATTGAGGCTCTGACCTTAATCCAAATTCAAAAACTATGCCAAGACACAAACAATCGCACTTTGGAAAACACCCATATGCAACTCTCATTTGGTTGCCTAACTATGGAAGTGGGATAGAGAAGTTAAATTGAGATCTCAAACAATTGAATCAAAACCCAAAATTCACGTGTTAGGAAGATAAGGTAAACACAGATCTGAGAAGATTGAACCCACATAAAAATTGATAATCATTTCACAAAGACCAGCAAAAACCCATAGATGAAAGGTTTTCCGAATTGTAATCTCAGATCCCAAACAGGTGTAAAGAGAAGAAATGAATCCATACCTGAATAGACGTCAACTGCTCGCTGAAGAAGTCGTTAACAGTATCACTAGCAAACCTATCATGGAACTCGGTGCAGACCTTGCTGTCGATCAAGCAACTCTTGATCTTGTTCCAGTTCTTGGCGTTGCTCACTCTTTTTTGAAGCCAATTCGAGTAATCACCAAGCCTGTACTCCTTATACCCTTTACCAGACAACACCTCACCCGCACCCTTGTTGGTAACGACGAAAGCGAAGATGGTGAAGCAGAAAACGAGTACAATCAGCAAGAACATGACAACTAGGTAAAGCCAGAGCAGCCATGAAACTCTGCAGCAGGCACCGATGAGTCCGGCGAGGGAGACCAGAAGGAGGAAGACGCCGAGCACAATCACCGGCTTATCAAGAAATTTCTCGCATTCGCTGGCGCCATTCTTGCTCAGCCAGATTCCACCCGCAAGAATCGGGATGGAGAGTAGAAACGTTAGAAAATTAAGAATCCCGACGAGGTTGTTGCTGAGACGAAACATGACGGTGCGAGGCGGTTGTTTGGGTAGCGAGAAAAGGAAGGGAAAGCGAAGGAAGTTTGCGAAAGCGAAAAATACCTAGAGAGAAAAAACAGGAAATCGGAACAAAAGATTATGATGGAGATGATGAGAGGAGAAGAAGATGGAGATAGGTTTTATACGTGTATTTGCGCGTCAAAATACTGATTCTCGTGTTCGATTTAGGAACGGAACCGACTGAAATGTAGAGGTTGCAGTGAAGGTTCGTTTGACTAGTATGACGGATTAGGAGAGTAACGGATTTGTAAACTATTGATTTCCTACGCGCTTAACGCGTTTACCGCAACTTATGTATACTCGCGTCTATACGACGCCAACTAAGCAGGGGGTTGATGAAAATTCCAGATTTGACACAGAAAAATCTTTTGAACCCAAAAAATGTTTTAATTATTAAGGTGTTACGTCACAATTGATAATACATAAATTATTTTTATTAGATGTTATTTTATATTAAACAAATTAAAAACTATAATATTTAGTTTAAAAAATATATAATTACTATAATTATGGGTTAATAGTCACTTCTAAGATAAAAATTAAATTATTTAATTTATAAATATAAATAATTATTGTAGTCATCGCTCACTTGTATTTAACTCATATAATTTATTATTTTATTAATTTAATATAATATTTTATTTAATTAGATAAAAAATTTAATTTATTAATATGCTAGTAAAATTAAAATAATTAATTTAAATAAATTTTAAAAAATATAATTTATGATTATTTCAAAATTACTGCTGTGTTTGGAATTAATTAAAATTTTTAAATATATATGTAATTCTTAACTACTATTTATGAATTATACTTTTTATTTATGGTGCCCCAAAAATCAAGCTGTTTTAATTTTTTTTTAAAAAAAAATTTTAATGTCAATCGACGATTTATAATTTTGTTCAAATATTATTTTTAACATAAAGTGTGTGAATTTCTTTCCATTTAAGAATTTTCAAACCAAACATAAACAGATATGCCGTGTAAAATCAATCTCCTCTAACACCTTTACGCGTGGAATTGAAATTTCCAGGTTCAAATTTTTTTCTTGTTTTCCTAGAAAATTAATTAGCTGTAATTATAAAAATAAATAATAATTACTTAAAAAAATAAACAAAACAAAAACAAACTATTTAAATTTAGACTTTGTGCTTTGGTTTTGGCCTTCTATCTATATGTATGCATTTAAATTAATATTATAATATTTTTTATGATATATATAGATTATACATGTGATAGTTTGAAAATATTTCTGATTTTATTTTTTATATTTGATATATTTAATTTAAGTTTATATGTGTGTGAAAGTATATAATAAAATTAAAGATACAGTTTAGAGTCAAACAGAAAAATAATAGATGAAGATAAAAGAGTTAAATAAGTATGAAGAGACATGAAAAAATGTGAGAACTTCTTAAATGAATTGTTATAATGAAAAATGGTAGCTATTAGATAAAATAATATAACAAAAAATGATAATTTTTAGATAAAGTGACGTATAAAAAGTAGTAATTTTTAGATAAAGTGACACAACAGAAAGTAACAACTCTTAGATAAAATAATATCTAAAAAGTGGTAACATTTTATATGAAATGATATATGAAAATGTCTTTTAGATAAAACGACATGTGAAAAGTGATAACTTTTTAAGTGAAGTGACATGATAAAATGTGATAACTTTTAAATGAAATAGTATGACGGAATGGTGGCAATATTTTCCTCGTTGCTCTCACTCTTATAAATAGGGGATATGAGAAGGGAGGAATAGACATTTCAGATGAGAAAAAAATAATAAAAAATATAGAGGTGAAGGAATAAAGAGAAGTACGAAATCTGTTTTTTTAGAGTATTTTGAGATTTTAGATAAAAATTTTGTAAAAATACTATTAAATTTATAAAAATGGAGAAAGAAAATGAGAAGAGGAGTAAGACTCACGATTACATTGGATAAGCTTTTTTTAAAATTTTGAAGTTTGGTTTCTTTTTTTTTTTTTATTTTGAATTAGTTTTTGAGTATTGTGTTGTAATTTTTAAGTCAAGAAAGTGACAAAAAATCATCTTGAAACTCTGTCGAATTTTTTAGAAAAAAAAGTCATAAATAAAGGCAAAACTCTACTAGAATTAAGACTACGACTGCTAAAAATCTAAGATAAGTGGATATTATAGATTCGTAACCTACGTAATTTTGAAGTATTT